TACTCTAATGTTCTATTCTTAAAGGGTCTCCTTAAAACATTCTCCAAAGGAGACCCTTTAAGAATATAACATTAAAGTACTAAGTGACACAAAAAACTGGAGAATGTTTTAAGGAGACCCTTTAAGAATAGAACATTAAAGTACTAAGTGACACAAAAAACAAAACATTCTCCAGTTTTTTGTGTCACTTAGTACTCTAATGTTCTATTCTTAAAGGGTCTCCTTAAAACATTCTCCAGTTTTTTGTGTCACTTAGTACTCTAATGTTCTATTCTTAAAGGGTCTCCTTAAAAGTTTCTTCTGTGATCAAGAATGGGAGAGTTAATGATGTGAGTATTTTAATTTCATCTTTTGTTGAAGATTGAATACATATACATTTGTGAATATAAATTTTAATAAAGCTGTAAAAATGCTCAGGAGAAATAGATAAAATGTTCATACATTTACCTACAGGAAAAGGTTGGAAAAAATTAGATAAAATAGCCATATATTAACAGGAAAAGATTCATCATAAATAAGTCATACGTCAGGGACTAGCATTATGAATATGATCAATAAGACCATGCTGTGTGTTGATATATAAAATAACTGACTTTGGAACAGTACCACAAGTAAAACTACCATCTGATGTATGACTTTGGAACAGTACCACAAGTGAAGCTAGCATCTGATGTATGACTTTGGAACAGTACCACAAGTAAAACTAGCATCTGATGTATGACTTTGGAACAGTACCACAAGTGAAGCTAGCATCTGATGTATGACTTTGGATCAGCACCACAATTAAAACTAGCATCTGATGTATGACTTTGGAACAGTACCACCAGTAAAGCTAGTGTCTGATATGTGACTTTGGAACAGTACCACCAGTAAAGCTAGTGTCTGATGTGTGACTTTGGAACAGTACCACAATTAAAACTAGTGTCTGATGTGTGATTTTGGATCAGTACCACAATTAAAGCTAGTGTCTGATGTGTGACTTTGGAACAGTACCACAATTAAAGCTAGTGTCTGATGAGTGACTTTGGAACAGTACCACAATTAAAGCTAGTGTCTGATGTGTGACTTTGGATCAGTACCACAATTAAAACTAGTGTCTGATGTGTGACTTTGGAACAGTACCACAATTAAAGCTAGTGTCTGATGTGTGACTTTGGATCGGTACCACAATTAAAGCTAGTGTTTGCTGCTTCTCCTGTGAGATCATTCTTTATTAAAGTGAACAATGAAATCATCTCTGCATGTGTTTCAATATAATATAAAAATGGTTTGGAATATTACATTTTGAAACTTTTGAAGATATAAAGTTATTCAATTTGTGTTTGATAGGTTTCTCAGTTAGTTAATAGTCCTGTTTATTCTGAGTGAAATACATGTAAACTCTGTTTGTTTTTTGTAGAGGGCACCCAAATTTGTGTACTATATAAAATAGATATATATCTTCAGTAGGAAAACTCTTTGTTAATGAAGGAAAGCAGGAAAACTCTTTGTAAATGAAGGAAAGCATGTCCAAGAATTTAAATTGTTTTAATAAATGTTTAAGATCAGTTGTACGTCATAAATGAACACTTATTCCTTTGTGAAAAAAGTTTTCAAAGTGAATACAAATTATTATCAGTTATAGGATGTCTAATTAGGGAGATTAAGTGTTAGTGACATAAATATTAGTTTAACTAATGAAATATGTGGCATCATTACTTTTACTTAAATTTGATTATATAAAAGTATTGTCCAAGCAACTGGTACGTTATATTTTTAATTTTTAACTTATTTTCATGTAAATAATGATTGGTGAGCCTAATTAGTTTAATGTTCTTAATTTATAGTTGTTATGTTGGTAAATCCATTGTGAAGAAAAGTGGGAATAAACTAAAAACTTTGTCTGTAGTGGTACCCCCTGGAAGAAGCTAAATCAGGACAGATACATCTGAAACTTGCTTGGTTGACCCTCAGTGATCAAAAAGTAAGTTTTTCATACTTGATAGTATTCTAAACCAATATACTAGAACTAGAAACTAGAGATTTAAATTGTTGAACTGCATCATTATTTTACAAAACTACTTTTAGCAAATTGGTGTTTTCTTAATAAAATCTTAATGAAACTGTCTATATTTAAGTCTTTATGTAATTCTTGTATGATATTTTATAAATCTCTAGCAAGGGCTATTATTAATTATTGTCTTTATGTAGTTCTTGTATGATATTTTATAAATCTCTAGCAAGGGCTATTATTAATTATTGTCTTTATGTAGTTCTTGTATGATATTTTATAAATCTCTAGCAAGGGCTATTATTAATTATTGTCTTTATGTAGTTCTTGTATGATATTTTATAAATCTCTAGCAAGGGCTATTATTAATTATTGTCTTTATGTAGTTCTTGTATGGAATTTTATAAATCTCTAGCAAGGGCTATTATTAATTGTCTTTATGTAGTTCTTTTATGATATTTTATAAATCTCTAGCAAGGGCTATTATTAATTGTCTTTATGTAGTTCTTGTATGATATTTTATAAATCTCTAGCAAGGGCTATTATTATTGTCTTTATGTAGTTCTTGTATGATATTTTATAAATCTCTAGCAAGGGCTATTATTAATTATTGTCTTTATGTAGTTCTTGTATGATATTTTATAAATCTCTAACAAGGGTTATTATTAATTGTCTTTATGTAGTTTTTGTATGATATTTTATTAATTTCTAGCAAGGGCTATTATTAATTATTGTCTTTATGTAGTTCTTTTATGATGTTTTATAAATCTCTAGCAAGGGATATTATTAATTATTGTAAATTAGCGAGTGTTTTATTTAAAGTTCCTAGTTTTTATATTCTATAACTTTTATTAGTTGTAAATCTAACTGTAAGATTTTATGACTGTTACTTTGACTGGAAGAATTTTTTACCTGTGTCTTTCAGTTTTAACACACTTTTACCCAATTACACCTTTTCACTCTCTGAGGCCTCCTAGTTGTATGTTTGTGGACTTATAATGCTAAATGTTGGGTTTCGATACTATTGGTGGCAGACCACATGCATATAACCCGTTGTGTAACTTTGTGCTTACCCACAAACAAACAATTACTCTCTGAGGCTGTGGCTGGTGTTCTACAAACCCCATGATCACATCTGTGACCTTTAATCTCTGTCTATTCATCCTTGATGGAGGCTTTTTAATTATTTACAGTTTTGGAGTTGGTAATTTTTTCTACATTTTATAAATATTTGGTACTTTTATTTTCTTTTTCTTGTTCCTTCCAACACTTAAGCAACAAAGTAATATGTCCATTTTACTATTATCTCCATATTAAACAGGTTATGTATTTAATAGTTAGTGTGTTGCAATGTAGATTGAAGAGTTCAGAGTTTGAGTCCTGATGGTGCTAAATATGCCCCACATTTTCAACTGTGGGTGCATTATAAAAATGACAATCAGTCATATTAATTAAATCAAAGTGTCAGACAAAGCTCTTATGGCTGTTTGTCCTACTTTTGGTTGGAGGAAAGCTATACCTGAACCCATAGGATAACTGACCTTATTGTTTAGCCCACACACACATAAATGGACTTCAGACTATAAATTAATGTTAACTTTTATACCAGTATGATGTGTGAACCTGTAGAAGGGGTATTTATTGATAGGAATTAATGTTAGCTTTTATACCAGTATGATGTGTTAAAAGCTAACATTAAGTCCTATCAATAAATGCCCCTTCTACAGGTTCAAGTCTAGTTTCATCTTAAATCACGAAGCTCATGATCTTGGACTGGTCTTGTTTTATTAAGAGCAGGAAATGTTATTTCATAATGAGTTGAATAAATGACTACCACATGAGGAGACTGTTATGTCATGAATCGTACATTGACACTACTCTTTATATTAACATACACACCGTATATCAGCTAAACCCTTTATTAAAACCCAGTTATTAATATTAAGTGAGCAATTAAAAATATAAAAACATTCTACTGAAAAAAAAAAAAAATCATACAGAGTAGTTTACATTATTTAACATTATTTCAATGGTTACCTACAGGCAGGTTTTTTGCAGAGTCTACAAAAACCAACAATACTGAAGTTGAAAAAGGAGATACAAAATGTTGCAATACCTGAAAAAAACAAAAAACAAGTGAAATGTACATTGTAAAAAATGTATGTAATACACCATTTCAAAAACATATCCCATTGAGAAATATGTCAAACACAAAACTACTAATTAACAGTTTTTCATAAAAGCTACTATTAATTCCTATCAATAAATGCCCCTTCTACAGGTTCACACATCATACTGGTAAGGAAGACTTAGACTGATAACACATCATGGTAACTCAACAGGAAGGAAGACTTATAGTGATAACACACCATGGTAACTCAACAGGAAGGAAGACTTAGACTGATAACACACTATGGTAACTCAACAGAAAGGAAAACTTGGACTGATAACACATCATGGTAACTCAACAGGAAGGAAGACTTATAGTGATAACACACCATGGTAACTCAACAGGAAGGAAGACTTAGACTGATAACACACTATGGTAACTCAATAGGAAGGAAGACAGACTGATAACACATCATGGTAACTCAACAGGAAGGAAGACTTAGACTGATAACACATCATGGTAACTCAACAGGAAGGAAGACTTAGACTGATAACACATCATGGTAACTCAACAGAAAGGAAGACTT